AAAACTAGTTCTAAACATACCAAAATCCGAAGTCTTAAAATGATTTCGAAAATGGCCATAAAATGCTTTGAACATCTAAAAACATCCAAAAAGGCTTTAAAACGACCAAATAAGTTCTATAAATAGCCTAATAAGCGAAGAAACTGAACTTGATATCGAATAGACTAACTGCAAAAAAGGTCAAGAAGATCAAAAACATGCACCTTACATCACAAAACGACCCTTTAAAGCGACATAGGGGTAAGAGGGGCATAGTGAACAGGTGGGGCAACCCGCACTCCAGTCCCAAAACTCTAATTGTGCGAAACAAATTAATTGGTAGTAGGTTCAATATCACCATTGCAATGATTAATGACCAATTAATTTGTTTCGAACCAGAAATCCAAGGCTCACTATGCCCCTCATCTCTCTAATCGCCTTAAAGACGCTAAAAGCGTTTTGAAAAATCTAGTTAAAAAACGCCAAAACACACAAATGAATAACTGTTACTCATTTGTTTAGTAGCAATTACTTTTTAATGGGGCCAATTTTACTCATTTAATGGATACCCGAGCAAAGTTGAATATTAAAATGAGGGTTAGAAGGAAAGGGGTGTAAATGACTTTGATCCATTCTCTTAATCGACTTTCTCTCTTTTTATGAACAGTTTTTGCGCTATTTCTGCCACACAGTTTGATAAAGGAGGTTCTCATCTAGCATCCAGAATGACACACGAATCATGGAATTTGTTTGCAGCTGAATTATTAACGCAAGAGAAAGTCGATGAAGAGCATCGATTGAAGTCACTTACACCCCTTTCCTTCTAACCCCCTCATTGTATATCAAAATTTTGTCGTATTTGTCATAATAATAATAACATATTGACTACTTATTTTGATAAATATCAACGAAAATACCAGTATTATAATAATTATATAGTAATTCCCTGGGCATTGACATAACCTTGAGGATCGCTTAACTGCAACCAGGTCCCAGGGCTTGTCTGAATCTTTACATTTTGAAAGATGCACACTAGTGATGCCAGTAGTGATGTTACAGTAGCGGACCAAAAGTTTGTTGAAATTAAACAAATAGCCCAAATTAAATAATTGTGTAGTTTAGAAGTATGATTTTGACTATGAATTGTTTTTCTAAATAATTGCACCCAAACATTGAAAAAATGGTTTGAAACTTTTTGAATGCGACATCACACAGGTACAGTCAACTTTCGCTCGTTGGGCTAAACCTGTAGCCAACTTAGTGAAAGGCTTTCGTTACACCGATTGTTTATTATCATCACAATCCTTTAGCAACTATCCAAATTGTTCATACATAAGCCCCTCGAAAAAAGAAATAGTACTGTCAAAAATGACGTTTGACTTCGATTTAGGTGGGCTACAGCCCAACTTACGGGAGCCTAACTAAAACGTAGCCCACCTAAACATAGCCCAACGAGCGAAATTTGACTGTACTACATTTGAATTTGGTTTGATCGAGTGGCGATTTTCTTTTCTTTAGATCAAGACGATGACGTTTTGAAGAAGACAAGGATATTAACTATCTGCACGCTGGATCAACATATAGCCATGCTAGAGGGATAGAACATCATTTTACTTTCATAAAAACAGAACCCTCATAACAGATTATCAGGAAAACCCTTTTGGGATATGGGATCTCGGAGAAGCAGAAAATTGGAAGACCATGATCTATTTAATTGTTGGAATCATCACGAAGAGCGTCCACAAGAGAGTAGTAGTAGCAACAGTAGTAGTGGCCATATTGCCCCCGAGTGGCTGGGTGGATATACAATAAACAACAAGATAGAATGTCAAGGCGCAACTACTACGGGCACACCCTTAGGAGGGATCCAGGCGGAATTTTGAAAACGGCACTCAAGTACAGAATATCAGAACCCAAGAAAATTGAAAGGGCGGCATATACTTGGCGGCATATACTTGGTATTCGACAGGACGTGGAGAAGAGCAAAATTCCCATTGAAGTATGGCAGGATATAGCACAAGAAAGGAGCAAGTTTAAACCTGAGTACTGCGAACTAACTCAAAATGCTTGTCATCTGGGAGCCGAGTAAAACTGTCAAACGGGAGCCAAACATTCAAAAGAGTTCAGAAGTCACGTAGGTAGTTACTGTTTGAACCACAAGTAAAGGAAAACAAATTAAGAATTATAATTATGAAACTGTCGAAACATCAACCTTAGTAGGCGGATAATGTAAATCATTGAGCGTGATGCTCGAAAAAGTGTTTTTATTTGATATTAATAATGCCAAAACTGGCTTACTGAAACAAGAATGTAATCAAACTTTATAAGAGTCATGTGAGCTTTGTGGGCGGGTGCACTTATAGTCGCTTAGGCTTATTCTGCGCGGCGTGTGAGGTGAGGTGACAGTGAAGTGATGGTGAAGTGACAATTGTCACCTCGGGTGAGGTGACTCTCCATTTGATTTGCATGGAGACTCACCTCACCCGAGGTGACAATTGTCACTTCACCATCACTTCACTGTCACCTCACCTCACACGCCGCGCAGAATAGGCCTAGCTATATTCATAGTCTGGCGGATAGAATCTCGGGAACCAATTGAGCTGTCAAATATCGGAACCAATCGAGCGAATCACGAACAACAACCCTTTTCTCGTAACTCAAGGCTCGCCTACGCAAACTAACACCGTCTTTGGGTTGAGGAAAGCTTCCCCTATCGGATGATGCCGGTAATTTGCGTTCGATTGGCGAGGAAAGAATAATCAACGTTTTGTTTTTAAAAGTTGATAGTACCTTTTTAATTGTTGGTCTACAATATATTGAATTGGTTCCGCTATTTGATAGATCGAAATTCTATCCGCCAGACTATGAATATAGCGACTATAGGTGCACTCCCATCACTATGTATACGTTATTTCTGGAGCAGAGGAGGAGGAGCCAAGAGTTCGTTTGACAGCATGTATATACAATTTTGTGAGCTGTTTCAGCAAAATAATGTGAAACTTCGGAAGATTTTCAAGATGTTTTCTAGCTCACTTGAAAAATAAAATCGGCTGAGTTCGAAGTACTCAGGTTCAAACAAACCACTAAAAATCGGTATAGTAGCATAGTGGTGTCGGAATTTGAGACTAGCAGCGACGCTGACTGGGATAGTGAAACAGAAGATCTAGTTCCTTCAGACTTCTCCGAATTCAGTTAGATTCTGGCGACGAAGTTGGTCCGAGGCAACGACAATAACAATCCACAAAGCACCCCCAGTCAACCGACGATTTAGGTAAGTTCACACGATCGTTATATTAACATGCTACCCCAATAGGTTCCTATTCAAATGTGTTAGCAGTGCCTTTTTAACCACCATTGGTTGTCTCTTCTGGCGTTCGAATAGCGGATCTATTGGACAGAGCAGGCGCAGATAACTGAGCCCCCAAACGGCTGCAACCTGTGGCCTATAAAAAAAAATTAAATCAAATTGTCTTTGTTTCAATTCTGTGCTTGGGTATTTTTCCTCGGAAATGCGTACTTTAGATACTACCTATAATCGCGTATCAGTCCCATATGGATATTTGTCAATTTTAAGATACTAACGCTATCCACTATCAATTGGCATCTACTTTCATAAGACGAGATAAAACTACGGACTTTGATCATGAAAAATGTGAGAACAACATCAAGTCAGTTTGTCCCATCAAGCAAAGTAATCGCATATCAGTCCCATCCAGAAATTCAATCGTCCAGAGGTCAAGTTACAGTTTTTTTTTGAATCGCACTATTTTTTGCTGATATAACAAATCATGCAGACTTCATTGCAACTGACTTTAACTTGAAAAAAATATCAAGTAAATTACTATGATTTTTCAAATATTTACATGGGAATCGCACTTCGTAACTTCAACTGCCAGGTTATCAATGCCTACTTGTTTTCCATATGGGACTGATATGAGATTATAGGCAGTATAGTAATTTAGTCATTATTGAATATTTTGCGGTTACCAGTGCTGCTAATTTTCATATAATCAATATAAAATTCAGGCGATCCAACACAACCATTCAATCAGTGGACTGTGGACGAAAACCAGAATAGGGGTCCCAAATGATCATATCAACTCGGTATCGAATCAATGTCGGGTCAATTCTAAGCCAAGGTGGTCTGGAGGTTACACTCAACTGAATGCCATCAAGCGTTTCCCAATTGAAGACGATCCATGCTTTCGCCAAATGATGAAGCAGATATAAATTGGGGCCTCTCTTAGCGCAGTCGCTAAAGGCGCAGCTACAAAGCAAGACCATGCTGGTGGAAACTGGGTTTGATTCTCTGGGAAAAGAGTATGATTGTACTTGCCACACAATAAATTATACTAATGCAAAAATGGTACAGGCATCGAATACTCTCAATTAATAACTGTGGAAGAACATCTAGAATACTAAGTTGTGAGCACGTATTAAACTTATATTAAATTGTCCTTTCGAATGAGGTCATTTTGACAGTGTACCATGGCTATTCTCATTTTCACGAAAATCTATCAGGATTTTTTTTCCAATCCCATCTAACAAAAAGCCGAGGTGCACCAGAGTAACCATCGGCAGCCCATTACACTATCACAAAGCTCTTATGAATTGAAATTGAACTAGATAATGTGCGAATGATGTATATGTTGGAAAAAATTCACCTTCTGGTAGGTATAATAGCTATAAAGTATATATATTGTAAACTTAATCAGAAAAGGACATGTTTTAAATTCATACTTTCATGCAATAAATTGTATTAGAAACAAAATATAAATTATGCATCTGAGTAAATTCAAATAGAGATAAATAAAAAAAAAAGGTGATAAATATAAAACACTAATCCAAATAATTGAAAAACAACTCATAATAATACAAACTAGCCAACAAACCAAGCAGCACTGAGCCGAAAACTGCCACCAGCGTAGAACAATGCCCGACTCTACGGCCCCGTCGAGCGCGTCCAGTTTTCGGCCCTTTGCTACCAAATTTAAAACAACTAAGAAATCTGTTAATACTACCGCTATCTACAGTCACACAAGTGTTACCACCATCATCAACACCATCTTCCTCAACAAGATGTTCATCTCCATCATCACCATCATCATCATCACCACCATCTTCATCACCAGTGCTTACATCGGAATCTTTCGTCATCCTCGTCGATGGGGACGCAACGGCGGCGGCGACGGCGGAATGGGGCACTCCGACGGCAGCCGCTGCCGCTGCAGCAGCCGCCGCCGCAGCGTCCAGCGACGGTCGCAGCGCTTGCCGTTTGGCCACGATTTCCAACATTTCGTTCAGGATAGCACCCTCGGCCGCGACGTCCGACGAATTTTTGTCGAGTTCTACGGAAAAGAACCGGTTTAGGACCATTTTCTTCTGGGAGGATTTGCTCCTCCCGCTGCTGGTGGAGGAATGCTTACTGCTGCACGACAGTCGCATGTTCAGCTCCTCCTTGAGCTGCGCGTGCCGATGCTCGAGCTGAAGTTCCTGCTGCCGTATGCTCAGCTCCTCGTCCCGCACCTTCAGCCGGGTGATGTTGCGCATGATCTCCAGCCACTCCTTGACCAGGCCCTCGTCGTTGGCGCCCAGGTTCTCGATGTTCTTCTCGAGCGATTCGCTTTCGCCCCGCAGCTCCTTCTCGATCTCGACGCCCCGCGTCTCCAGGTCCTTGATCTTGACCTCGATCTCCTCCTGCTCTCGTTGTATCTCTTGAGCAATTCTCAGTCTGAAATGTTGGGGGGCTTAGCTATGTTCTAAAGGAAATTGAGATAGATGAAAGTACCTTTTCAATTCAGCTTGACGCGATGCCTTCGTCATTGCACGCAGTTTCTTCAGTTCGTTCTTTGGCTCGTTTGCGGTGCAACTTTCGTCTGCGATGATAGAATAGAATTTCACATTTTGACTTACATGTTGAACGGAAGTGCAAACTTACCATCGGATCTCTGATAGTTGAGCGGCAGTGGTGGAATCGGCGGAGGTTCCAGTTCTTCCGCTTCCTTGCGACCGATCGGTGTGAATCGATTGCCGGCCGTTGATGATGGTGCGTTGCCGTTGTTGGTCGACGAGGATGGAGAACCGGTCGGACTGCTGGTCGGCGTTGTCGTGGTGTCACGCCCAGACGGACTTGCACTGGATGGGGCTGGTTGCTTCAAGCAATCCTCGGAAGCACACCGTTCGTACGGGGAGCCTTCCTTGGTCTAGACGGGGGTGGGGAAATTGGTGGATTGTTGATTAGGTTATTACTCTCTGGTAGGGGGGTCAGTAATTAGACTTGTTAAATCAAGATTGTGCGTGATGCAAACGAAAGGGTGATGGAATTAAGTAATTAGGACTATTGCAACTAATTAACGGAACAACGGTTAGGTATGTTAATACTTAATACTAGTGTAGGATCATTGTCTTTTGAGACTTGATAGATCAGAACGGATCAGACCAAAGGACCCAAACGCAAGTTCAGAGGTTGTTTGGGATAAGTTTTGCGGCCGAGAAGTTGCCTGATTTGGAATTTCTAGCTCTGCACGATGAGTTGCTCACGGAACCTTAAGAGTATGATGCGAGAACGTTTCAAATTCGAAAACTTAGTGAACCCCTTTGACGAATATCATGAAGCATTCATGTAATAGGGAAAATGGTTCTAATGTTGGCCTATGGATCTATGATCTAGATAAACGCGTCATTGGGACGGTACTAATGGATAGTTTTGGTCACTATTGAAAATTGAGTCGATTGCCCAAATTAGGGGCATTTAGGCCGACATTACATCCATTTCCCCTATCAGCGAAAAATAGTACAATTCAAAAAGCAAAACTGAAACTTGACCTCTGGACGATTGAATTTCAGGATGGAACTGATATGTGATTACTTTGCTTGATGGGACAAACTGACTTGATGTTGTTAACAAATTTTTCACGAACAAAGTCCGTAGTTTTATGATCAGAATGATGAATCATGGAAAGTTCAAAGTTCCATGAAAAATTGAAGACCGTTCAGACGAAGAACTGCCCTATAGATTTTTGAACTTCAATAAAGTTCTCTACCCTGAATTGCTCAGTTCCCAAAATTTTCTGAAGCTAATTGAAATGCCTTGAAGTTCTTTGATCTGTACTGAAGATTCTGCAATTATCCTAAAGCTTTCGAGACTTCCTTGAAGAACATGGAGCATACTTTAAAATCTCTAAACTTCCCTGAAATTCTCTGTTCTTACCTAGAGTTTTAGTTCCTTCATTATGATGATCCCTTTATTCACAAGAAGAGTTCGGAACTTCTCTAACGTTCCAAATATTTTCCTGATATTAATGCAATATTCCTAATGTTTTTGGACCATTCCTGAAATTATCAAAACTTTCCATAACTCCTCCGGAAATACATGAAAAGTCCTAGAATTAATTAAAGGAACTGCTCTTCAGTTCTGTGATCCTCCTTCAAGTGATCGGAACATTCCTGAAAATAATGAATGTGACTAAAAATCTCAAAACTTCTCTGAAGTTCTCTGGACTGCCCTGTACATCTTGGAATGTAGTTGAAGTTTTTGGCAATTCCCTGAGTTTCTCGGACTTTCAGTAAAATTCCTGCAGTTTCCTTGAAGTTCATCATAGCTGATGCTCGCCAAGCTACCCTGCAGTTCTTGCAATTCTACTGAAGTTTTTGGTAATGCCCTGAAATTATTGGCACTGTCATAAAATCTCATCCCTAAAAATGTGCGGACTTCTGGATATTGAAAAAAAAACGATGTTTAAGTTTTAAGTTGGTTTTGACTTTTTCAGCCTTGTGTAATCCAAATGGTGAGGTAAAACGTAAACGTCGGGCATCGCAAAGCTAACTGTTTGGATTACCCAAGGATTTCCCTGAATTTCAAGGAGCTGCCAAGAATTAATCGAAACTATCGTTTAGATATCTTTAAACTTCTCCAAAAGTCTGGACTTTCCAAATGTTATTGAGGCTGCCCTTAATATCTCTGTAAAATCGCACAGTCTGTTCATGAAACTTCCCGGAAATCGTCGGCATTTCCTTTCATTCCTCGGAACTTCTAACCTAAAAAGTTTGTGAAACGTCCTAAAGTTCTTTTATTTTTCCTGAAGTTCGTGGAACTTCCCTGAAGTTCTCGTCATTCTTCTGAGCATTTTCCTGGAATTGAAACCAATGAAACTGCCCTAAATATAGCTTTTAGATGTATCCAACATTTTTCTTAAGTTCTTAAAACTTTTGTGTATTAGAGAGACTTTCAGCCTTGAGCTGGTTCGTCTCTGGGAATCCCAGATGGGGATTCCCCTATTTGAGGGGTGTGGGAATTCCACAGGGAAATTACCCTAACAACATACTTAGGGGATTTCCGAAAATGGCAAAACAGTGGTGGCCCTGGAAGGGGACCTCCGAAAAGATGGGTGCGACTCCAAAAGGGTGTCCCTTAGTTGCTTAGTGGCTGTCTTAATTGAGCAAGAAGTTGAGCACCGCATAACTCGAGTCTTGGGATCTTTAATTGTTCTTCAGGTTTCCTAATTGACGCGATTTTGAGCAAAGGAGACTTACCGATACACGCGTAATTTCGACGCGTCGGAAAAAACCGTGAAGCACACACCTTTTACTTCTATTGGGTCCATTTTTTGCGATTTGGGAACGAAACTTTTGTCACTAGGAGTTTAGGTCGGTATGAATTAGTTCGTCCCAGTTACTACCACGCTACCAAATTACTCGTACGATCAGCTTTGCCGCAAGTATCATAGGTCCGATCAGTCCGACAGGGTCGTAGAGTTTCGCGATGTCTGACAAAATAGTCCTTTTCGTGTTACTGGTCTCGTTGAATTCAATTGTCTTTAGATCCAAAACGAAAAGGTCGCTGCTTGGCTGCCATGTTAGCCATGTTGTTGTTTTAGTCGATTTTTAGTCCGACAATAAGACCTTCTGCTCCTGATGTTCAAAGGGAATGTTGTCCAACAGTTGACTTTTGCTAGAGCACCATTTATGCAATTGGAACTCTGCTGATGCCATCATCTCCATGAGCTGACCTTGTTGCCTCTTCAATGCTGTCTGCCCCAGACAATAAGTCCAACAAACCGCGAGCCGCTGCCTTGGGGAATCTGTCCTTTTCGTCATGACACAGTTGTTGAAGTGACCTTCTAGCACTTGCCGTTCCGTAGCTTACAGTTGATAACATGTACACCACCAGTTTGTCGTTAGGGTTTGACCTCCAGAAATAGTACTATTCGATGGTCGTAGCACTGGATGATGCGGCAAGAAATATTGATCAGGAGTGTCCTCTAGGTGTTGTATCGATGGTTCCAATCTTCATCATGTGCCCCATGGATTCATACTCGTCCATAAAACACTTGTAAGCTTCGTACAGTTGTGGATCCTTTAGCAAACGAAGCTCCATCGACAGGAACCTTTGATGTGCCATATGCTTCGACGTTCCCAATGTGAACCTTCACGAAATGGTAATCTAGTCATGTACGAACCATCTGGCAATCGTTTGTATGTCTCGACAAAGTGGCGTTCTGCAAGAAGCCCTTCTGATTATGTACTAGAGGTAAACTGAACGTCATCTCCTTCCCAGAACTTCTGCAATTGGCTATGCAGTTGTTCATTTGTAATCAGTTGACAATAGCAGTCTTGCTGGTCAACTAGCTTGCTCTCACGTTCAATGACTCCACCTACTACCCATCCGAAATCCGTTTGTCGCAAACCGAATGTATCTTTCAGAAACACCTGTTCACCAGAAAACAGTTCCCAGTATAACTCCATTCGCAACAGCATGTCCACTGGTCCCGGAGTGCTGAACCATGGATCCGAAATAATAACGTGTTCTGGAATTTGCCAAGATGAAATATCAAATGTTTGTATCGGCAAGTGCGTAGTTACATTCGTTGTTTCTAGGAACTCCACTTCACGTTCGTAGTTGCTATGTTTGGACAAAACTTTGGCGCGCACACTGTGACGAATGTGACAATGCTGACTGCATACACCACCCAAACAAATATTTGTTGCTTCCAACTTCAAACTCATCCGTCTGACGCAATCAGTAGTTATCAAACTGACCATTGATGCACCATCCAATAATGGTCTACTCTGTACTCTCAAAGCGTTCACCGTAGGTGTTCTCCACCAGAAGTATGACTGTGTATAACAAAATTTGCAGAAGGTTCGTTTGATGTGTTCTGCTGTTTGTTTGCTGAAGACGGTCCAGAAGTAACTGTAGGTTTATTCGTGTCCCGTTTGACTGCTGATAACTCAAAATGCACCATGGTATCAACAATCAATACGAAACTTACGATTTTAAATTGGCTCACTCCTTGACTAGCCTATTGGTCCCAAGTAAATCGATTAACGTACCCTATTCTAGTCGAAATTCTAGTACTACACTATGTTTGTTTTGATTCGCTATGAAAGTTTGACAGATAAAATGAGGGGTTCGTGGATTTTCCTATGTTTCGAGGGGTGAATCGATTAGCTTGGGACCGAAGATAGTACCAGCGCTGAGCCAAAAGTTGAGCACGTTTATTCGGGACCTTCTGGTCTTAGAGTTACCTCTATGATGGTATGGTGTCGTTCTGAACACCGTCTGCAAGAAGTACTAGAGCAGTCTGCAATGACACAGGAGCTCTCGATGTAAATCTTTGCCATGGATTGGTATTGGCTTGTCTTGCCTTCGAGTTCCTTTCATCCGTACGGTCTTGTCCAGATTCGATGCTTTCTAAAATCCTGCAACGGTCTTGAAGAAACGTAATCATCGCTGACCAGCGATGGTAGGTAGAATCGGTTTGTTGCATTTCGAATGCTTTACGAGTCTCTCTGTCGACACGATCTTAAACCATATGCACTAGGAAAACCTCGGACGTCTTGTCGAGGGGAAATCCTAACGCAGTAAGTGCACGGATGTGCTTGAGGACTCCATTCATCAATTCACGTAGGACTCCGGATGATCCGGATCGATTGCTTTGAACCGGTACAACTCCGAAACGTGTTTGTCGACTAGAAGCTTCTCGTTTTGGTACCGATCCGAAAGCGCTGTCCAAAGCGATTGGAAGGTCTCTTCCTTGGATTTAATCGCTCTAGCTTCTCCTCTCAATGACGATTTTAGATAGTGCAGCTTTTGATAATCGTTGCGGTGCTCGTTTCGTTTGATCAAGTTTTTAAATTGATCCTTGAAATAAAGCCAGTTTTCACAATGTTCGTCGAAAAGAGGCAGAGGGATTTCGGGCAGCTTCACTGTGCTCCTGGTGGATTCGGTGGATGTGGATGGAACTGTGCTCCTGGTGGATTCGGTGGATGTGGATGTGGATGGATGTGTGGATGTGGATGGAACGACAAAGGGTTTTCGTTGCTCCTCTTTGAAAAGCGATAGTTTCTTCTTCGAACACACACGCACTTCATGGAGTAAATCTTGTATAGTTTCACCCATCATCTCCGCGTCCTTCACTTCTTCTCTGTCTGCCGACGCGATCCGCGAATAGAAACGTAGCTCAACAATTGCTCGAGATGCTATTTCTTCAACAGTTGGCAGTGCAGGAAATATTCGAAAACTCAGGTGTTCTTTTATTTGCTCAAGTGAAACGATCTTACCTTTTGTTGGGCGCTCACTGCAGACAAAATGGCCGTCACACAAAGCTCGGCTGATGTCAATGATCGGAGACCACTTACGATGGCGCACGTCGTATTGTTTTAGATGGCGTCCGTCTTTTGTTCGCACCCGTCAGCGTCCGCCGGGATTTTCTGCTTGGCGTCCACCAAAATTCTCCTTCGACAATGGATTGTAAATTTCCAAAATAACTCCGAAACTGTGCCCACCGGAGAACCAGATCATCCGGTTCGAAGGACCATTATTTTCTGTCGTTTTCGGACCGATATTAACTTTGTAAAAGAACGCACACGATTTGATTTGCGACCGCTTGTACTTTTATTCCACGTACTGGTCTGACTGGTCTGCCCGGGCACTCGTTTGCACGGAATTTACACAACGAGTGAGAAAGTGTTTGTGTTGTCGTCGTCCGCTCTTCGGCTGTCCGCCCGGTGTCAAAACAATGGATGTCTCCACTGTCACGTCCATAAACGCTCCAACACTGTCATTTTGTTGGAGAATTCCGTTTTCGTTGCGTTGGTCTGTATAGTTGCTGATGTGGGTGGTTAGTTGTGAGATTCAGGTTCCGAGTGCGATCTGGTATGGTGCTGATGGTGAGCTAAGTGATCAGATTAGATCGAACAGCCCAGCTTCCCGCAGGAAAGCTAGAAGGGCTGTAATTCTGGTAGGATCGTTACCGAGAGCATCGCAGATGCTTCCCGGGATGTCGTAGCGGGATCTTGATGCTTCGTATTTCGGACAGTGGCAGATAATGTGATCCACCGTTTGTGGAATTCGGCATAGATCACAGATCCTATGGAATGGTCCGTCTCCCTTGTAATTGTGGGAGATGTTTGTATGATGTGTTCGAAGTCGGGATACTATGACCTGCTCTCGACGTAACGGTGGGTCCGCCCACCTTCGTTGGTGATTTTTGATACCAATATTTTGAGGTCCGGACCAGGTACAATTCGCGTGTTCTTGCCCATGCAACGACCTGAGTTGGCTAGTTGGTCCGCTTTTACGTTACCATGGACCCCGCAGTGTCCAGGTATCCACACAAAGACTGTGTTGTTTGGCGCGTGTTCCTGTATCGCCTGGATCCAAGGGTGTTTGCTCGTATCGGATTCCAGTGCAGCTACCACACTAGCGGAGTCGGTGAAGATGGCTATTGGCCGGTCGTCGGGAATGGTGGCTGCATTGAAGGCGGCAATGGCTTCCAAAGATAAAATGGAGCGCTGATCCGGGAGTCTATGGCATTCCGTGAGGTTTGGAGTTCGAGTACCGCCGAAAGATTGGCACCAGCTCTGAATTGGTGTTTGATTGTGTGGTCAGTCAGAATCTTCGGCTTGTTCCAATCCCTCGCTCTGAGCTCCCCAGTAAACCTTGGATAGAGTCGGGTTGGATGCTTCCCTGAGTGAATTGTTCGCCGCCGTGAGGAGGGAATCTTTCTCGTCTTCTCCTGATGTCTGCTGGTAAAGTCCGATGGCTCGTTGGCAGATAGTTTTGGAGATGAAGCGATCAAAGGGGAGCAGTCCTCCTTCGTTGCAAGCAGCTATTCCGGGGGTACCTGGCAAAAGACCCGAACAGATTCGGAGATATTGTTGACAGACCGGCGCTAGCTTTTCGGTCAATCGGGGCTTGGCAAGGAACGTAGCTTCGATTCCATAGGTTAGGCGTGAGTTGATGATGGCTTTCGCCACGTTCAGTCGGGATCTTCGGTTGGCATTTGGATTTCGTCCCGCTAGAGTTTTGAGCAGGTTGATACGCTGTTTGCATCCGTTTTTGACATCATTGAAGTGTGTGTCGAAGGTTAGATGTCGGTCAAAGCCGACCCCGCGGATTCGGATCGTTTTCCTACACGGAATTGGGTCTTATTTGATGCTGACTTTGGTGCTGAGGACTTGGGTGAATCCGCCGGCCGACGAGGTCCATATCGATACGTAGGTGATGGACTGAATAAACTTTCTTCGCAATGCCTTCACCATTTTCTTGACAGCCATTAGGATGATGTTGTTCGCGTAGTTCCTAAAACTTTCCTGATGTGTCTTTCTTGAAAGATTCCGCTATTTTCTTGAATGGAATTTCCTTAAAGTTTTCGAAATATACCTGCAGCTCTCGGAACTTCCCTGAAGATTCCATTATTCTTCTGATATGCTAGACTTGAAATTCTCAGAGCTGCCCCAAAAATCACGTAACGTCCCTTCAACTGAAGTTTTGAAAACTTTGATCTTCTCTAAAATTCTCTAAATTTTCGTGAACCCAATGGAACTGCTCTGAAACTATCAGAACCTTAAGACTTCCCCGTATTTCTGAACATTCTTGAACTCGGAATTAATCTGACGATTTTGGATATTTCACGAAATTCATGGGATTCTCATAACATTCTCAGAATCTCATGAAAGCTCCCGCATTTTTTCTGATGTTAATGGAACTAACATAAAGATTTCAAAATTTTCCTGCAATTCTCGGAGCTTCATTAAAGTTTCCACAATTTCCTTGACAAATCACAGCGTCTTGAAGTTTCCTGGACCTTATCCTTGAAACATTTGGTAAAGTTTTTACAATTTTTAACGTCCTTTAACTTCTCAAACATTTTCTTAATTTTTTGGAATTTCCCAAAACTATCTGCCCTAAAGGCCTTAGAACTTTCCCGATACTTGAGCTTTCCTAAAGATCTTTAAACTTAGCAGAACTATTCTAGGAGCTCTTGCAAAGTTCCTTCATCTAAGATCATGGAACTACCCTTAAAAATTTATAAACTTCCTCAAAGTTCCGGACCTGTAGTCCTCGTAACTTCGCTGAAGTTTTTGAAACATCTCTAAACACTTCTGATATTCTCTACAGTTCTTGGAACATCCCAGAGGAATGCTCAAAAAACTGCAGCTGATGTCCATATGATATCTAACGGCAAAATAAAGTAGTTCCATGTAAATATAAGTTCTGGATAGCTTCCTTGTAAAAATCTGTAACACTCCGAAAAAAATCCTCAAGCCTCCAGAGAATCATTTTAATAAATCATTATGGGAAGTTGAGAGCACTTTAAGCATTTATTACCTTTTGAACCTCCAGAATAAGCTCAGTATTGTTTCATGGAAAGGTCAAGGAACGTCTAAGGAAATTCCAAGAGATCCCCAGGGTAAATCTAAACAAGCTCCATGGAAACTTGAGGAAATCATCTGAACCGATCAGTTCAGAAGAAGTTGAGAGTGTTTCTTTGGAAATCTCAATTAAACTTAACATACAAACAAAATTCCTCGAAATATTTAAAAAAAGCCTAGATGAAATCATAAAAACCATAAGCAGAAGTTCCGGAAACTTGTTGCGGATATCCAGGGAAGGGAACCAGTCGGGGAAGTTTGGGAAAGCTAATGGTGAAATTTCTAAAGCTTACCTAAAGCTCTAAAAAACTTTAGAGAAAGGACAGATAATCTAAAATTAACGAACTTAAAGTAAATGTGAAGGGATTTTCCAAAAGAAGATACGGAAAATTCCAGGGTAACATAAAATGAGGGGGTTAGAAGGAAAGGGGTGTAAGTGACTTTGATCGATTCTCTTCATCGACTTTCTCTTTCGTTAATAATTCAGCTGCAAACACATTCCTTGATTCGTGTGCCTTTCTGGATGCTAGATGAGAACCTCCTTTATCAAACTATGTGGCAGAAATAGCGCAAAATCTGTTTATAAAGCTGTGAAGTCGATGAAGAGAATCGATCAATGTCACTTACACCCCTTTCCTTCTAACCCCCTCATATAGGAACCTTATGAGCCTTAACAATAAGTTAAAGAATAATTCCCGGAAACCTGCAGAAAAGTTCAATAAAACTTGCATGCAAATTCTAGGGCATTCCTAACTGAAGTTTAAAGAACTTCTAGAGAATCCCAAAAGGATGTTCGATGATTCTTCTGGTGGGGTTCAAAGAGCTTCCAGGAGAAGTGCAGAGTTTAAGGAAAACCTCATGTCCAAAAAATCTCCCCAAAGAGCTCTTCCAAATTAACCGAAACATCGAACAATAGGCTACGAAAGCACGCCACAAAATTGTCATCAACATTCCACTTAAAGTGTGCGAGTTACGAAAAACCAAACAGAAACTACAACAAAGCTACTAAACCTAAAACTAAATTAGAAAATGTGTTGATCCTTACACCAAACCCAATATTCCTCACATCGAAGCATGACTGAAAGGAATGAACGAAGAAAGCAAAATTACGACAATTATAATCCCAATTCCGGATGGTTCACCCTCCACCGAAAGTCGTCATTCCCAAAATCCCCACCGACAAACTCACCTTGGACTTATCCTTCAGTTTGGGCGAGATTTTAAACCTCAAGAACCCACCGCCGGTGGTCGTCGTCGATGAGCTGCCACTACCGCTACTACCTTGCACCGCTAGCTGCTGCCCATCACCACCACCACCAACAAAGCCATCCTTCTTGTTCTCTTTCGTCGGCGAAGAATCCTTACTGCCGCCACCGGTACCACTGCCACTTCCCGCTTCCTTCTTGCGACTGTTGAAAAACTCCGACACCTTCTCGATGATGCTCTTCCTGCGCTCACGATCCTTGCACTTGCTTCGCGTTCGCAGTCGCACCTCGTCGCCCGCACCACCGTTGTTACCGGTCTGTATTTTGGGAGAAATGAAAACATTAGAGAGGGAATCGCATAATCCAAACCATACACAACCAACTTACACTCGGACTCTGCACCAGATTCGGATCGGAAACGTAATCCTGAAGTTTGCTCCCGCTCATCGGCATCGGACCGCCGGAGCCGATGCCACCGTCCGTCGGCGAAACGAAGTCCGGATCGTTGCTCAGATTCTTCAGAATCGACACATCGTTGACGCTCTTGGAGGTCATCAGTTTCGAGTGCGAGTGGTGCCGTTCCTTGAATTTCGTGTCATCGGATTTATTTTGCAGCAGGGGCGATTCCTGGTCGTTCAGTTCCCGCAGGTTGATGTGGAACTTCTTGCGCAGCAGCTGGACGCGATCTTCCGGCGAAAGGCCTAGATCTTGGTTCGATTTGAGCCGAGCTCGGGCTCGTGCTTCTTCGCGGAGTTGCTCCGTTAGGGTGAGGGTTTCGTCGGTAGGTTTCGTCACACTGGCGACGGCATTTCGGGGAGTGACCATGTAAGCCGAGGGGGTTTTGAAGGCAATGTTTTCCTTATTCGGGAAGGTTGGAGCCGGAGTAGAATGTATCAGGGAACACGAATTGTACGATTGATTATTAGGGGATTCAGTGCCGTCCTGACTGAGAAGCCGATTCCTTCGTTCGGGAGCGATCGGTTGATAGGCAGTCGTTTGACTGGGCGGAAGTGGTGGATGACCGAGACCGTTGTTACGATTGCGACTTCGATTCTGGCGCTTCTCGGCATTTAGCTGCTTCTTCGTTTGCAGCTTATCCATGACTAGATCGTGAATGATGTCCTTCTGCTTGACACGTTCCTTCGTGATCTCTTCGATCTTCTTCTCCACACTTTTTGGCACTTCGATTGAACTTTGTTCGGTGTAAATGCTCGAAACTGTAGGTTTCGCCGCTGCTGATTCGTGGCCGGCCGCTGACAGATCCGTTGATTTCTCGTCCGATCCGATCTCTCCTTTCGACGTTTTGCGCTTGTTCTTTTTAATCTCCAGCGAGTCTCGCGCATTGCTAATCTGTGCGATCTTCTGTTGCAGTCGCTTCACGTATTCATCGTATCCCATGTCCTCGATGTTGTTCTTGAGCGAGTCTTTTCTAAGATTTCTCTCCAAACTGCTTTTCTTTCCACCGGAGCTGGACTCTGTGGATACCTTTCGCACCGGACTACCGGAAGATTTATCCGCTTCCAGATGCTTCGAACTGAAGGAACTGACGCTACCGCGGCCGCTGCTTCCACTTCCGGTAGTAGCAGTTCCCGTGCGGTCCAACACACCCGCCACAATCGTAGGTGCTTCGCTTTCTTCTGTAGTGGTTTCACCGGTTCCCTGCGAGGAAGTCACCACCAGCAGACTATCCTCTTCCATGTCATTCAAGCTGTCCGGTTGTTGTTGGCTCATGACCGGATCCAATAACATCTTGTTCTGGGCGGCCAGATCACTGAACGTGATCTTGGTCGGCGGTTCCTCATTCATCGGCGTTTTGGAATCGTCCGTCGAACCGCTGTTGAGCAAATAGGCACCCTGTTCGATGTAGTCCACCCCGGCGACCTGCTTGTTGACAGCTTCCACCAACTTCGGCTTGATCACCTGCATGTAACTCAGGTTCGGATGCTGATTTCCATTTCCGCCGATCGAATACAGCGTCTTCATGGGATCGCTCGGGTCGACAAACTCCACATAACCTCTATTTTTCAACATCGTACGGTTGGTGGTCGAATAGCTTTCGATACAACTTTCCTCCTCCGATCCGGTGTCCATGAATTCAATGTCCTCAATCGCTAGATTCTTCATGATTCCGTCCTCTGACGATTGCTGTTGAACTTGCTGCTGCTGCAGCTGCTGCGGTTGCCTGGAAACGACAATCGGAGTCAACGTACTGGAAAGAGCTTTCTTCTGCTGCAGCCGTCCATGCTTCGGCTTGTTCCGTTTGATCGTTCCTTTGTTCGAGTTCAGCGCAAACTCAATGTCAACAAAGTTCTCCGATACGGCATCTTCTGCGGCCCAGTCGGAAAGCTCTGTCTCCGTAAGATTCTGCGCCGTCAGTTCCGTCTCCGAGTCGGAACCTTCAGCCTTAGCGAGTTGCGGTAGCAGCTGCGAAGGTGCCAACGGAGTCTTCTCCGCGTCGGTGTCCGGCGATGTACGACTAGAAAAGGTGAGATTTCGGGGTTTCTGTACAGGTTGATTGTTACGATCTAGCACCAGCGGGAGGTTGATCAACGATTCCAGCTTGTTTTCGTTGCGAGAGTCGAACTTCAAGTCCGGCTTCGGTTGACTAGGACTAGATGGTTGCGAAACCGGAGAAGCAGGTTTGGATGGCGGCGACGGCTGCTGGGTCGATTCCAGTTCCTGAACTGATAATGGAATAGGCACAACGGGGCTTATCACTTCCTTCGGAGGTGTCGGGGTTCGATCGCGATCCAGATCTTCCTCTGAATCCTCTTCTCTAGGATCCTCAACTAGAGCAACACATATACTGTCCATATTCATCTCCTGTCGTGATAATTCTACGGCAATTTTGGTGTCCGGAGGTAGCTTCTCCAGCAGCTTGAGATCCTCCGGATCTCCGATGTACTTTCCATCGATAATCATCAGACTATCGATTTGCATCAACTCACCCGCGGTGTCACGAACTTCCACCCGAGGCACGAACCGCTCATCGTTCTGCGTCTCTGGACTGGTGGTCGAGTCCAGAATAAAGTGCGGAATATCATCCACGCTGGAGGTGCTCGACGACGACGAATCCGATATGCTATCGGAATCAATGTCCTCCTCATCCACTTCGTCTTCTTCATCCTCCTCATCGTCATCCTCTTCGTCGTCCTCTTGATCTTTATTCCATCCCATGTCCGGAACTTGGATAGAAGTTTCATGCGCCGGACTTCGCGTACGTTCCTGTTCCTCCTCGACCACCACCTCTTCGACTGCATTCTCATTCTTATCGATCTTAATATTGCTTATTATATCCGGAACGCTATGTTTCAACTCCCCATTAGTCTGCACCGGGACCCCCCTAGCCGAAGGTGGAGTCATGCTGAAGTTCAGCGTAGTCTCCACCAACGACCGATCACAGTTCGGCGAATCCGCCGTCAAATCTATAAACATGTGCTTCAAATTGGACATGTTCCTCATCTCCACAATCTTATCTCCTTCATCTTCCTCGTTCTTCTGCAGCGCTTGCGCCCCGTTCCGATTGTCATCCTGCACCCTCTTCTCCTTCTCCGGTGTGATCAGATCAATCGTCTCAATGATCCTCTCGTTGTTGTTCGGACGATCATCCCTCTTTCCTTCCTCCTCACGCTTCATCTCGTTCAGCTTGTTCTCCACCAGCGTTGCATTGACGGTCTCCGCGTACCGCTTCTGACCGACCATAATTTTACCATCGTACACATTCTCCTTCTCCTCGTTTTTCCCTGCCAGCAGTGCTTCCTTTCGCAGCGACAGCAGAGACGGTGCCGGTACCGAAGCCGTCTTCTGCAGGAACGTCTGCATCGTCGGACTGATCTCCGGTGCCGGATTCAACAGCTTCTGGCACTCGGTGATGTTCGAATGGAAGCTCTTGAACTTGGAATCCAGCGCCGAGGCAGATCCGCTCTTGAGCACCCCGCTACCACCGGTCGGTTCGCCGAGCAGGTACTTCTTCTTCAGCTCCAGGCTCTTCTTCGACGCGATGCCTTCGGTGCTGGCCGTTTTGCTGAGCGTGTAATCGCCGGGTCGTGGTATCGCAAGGGGGGTGGCCCGATTGTGGCTTAGCTTGATTGATGGGTCCACCTCGACCAGGGGTTTGAACTCCAGGTGGATGTCCTTCCGGTGCCGATCGAACCGGTACGACGGATTGTGCGGTGACGTTGCTTGTTGCTGATGATGATGATGATGATGAGCTCCACCACCACCGGGGACCACAAACTGCCGACGCTGACGGACGCCGTTGTCGATTGTCACTTGCTTAACCTGAGGGGAGAGGGAGAGAGAATATGTTGATATTATTTAAAAAACAAACAAAATAGGTCAAATGACCTCGGTAGCAGTTGGTCTTGTTATGGTCAGTCATTCTAAGAACGTTGTTTTTTGGCTTTATGACATAGATATCCGGAACCACCAGGAAATGGTCGAATAACTTACCGAAAACTAGTCGGATGAATTGTTGACCTTTTGGAAATTAGGGATTGCGGTTATGACGGTGCAGGGACTTTCAGGCTTTTATTATAAACCTTGAAATAAGTCCTGATATCCCTGAATGCTAGACATTGATGTCCAAATTATGTCAGGGCATGTCGACAGAATCTTCAGGGAAAATTTCTCATACTGATGACCCTGAAGTCATGTTTATGTGACGTAATCAACGTCTGGAGGACATTTGAAGGTAGTCCTGAGGCTATCCATGTCCAAAAGATATTCAAATCCAATCCATAGAGTACTCAGGCTAAACCTAAAAAAGCCTCGTTAGACCTTACTGTTGAATAAGTTTAGAAGATAATTATCGAAAACCCAGTGCAGTGCAGTTCTGAGGCATTCTTTCCCGAATAAATCCAGAAGACGTCCACATCAAGTCCAGTGAACCCCCAGGGCATATCTAGAAGAATTCTGGTGCTAATGAAGAAAAATACCAAAGCTAGCTCAGAGGAATCCGCGGTTAAGCCCGAAGGCTTAAAAAAGATGACCTTGAAGTCATGTTCAGAGGACCTTCGAGTTAAGTTAACATGACAGTCAGAGCAAGTCCATAGGGCATCCAGACTAAATCTAAAGGATCTCTAGACATACTGTTGGTGAAGTCTCCAATACTCATGGGCTGGATAAAATCTAGGTCGACTTGTTCCACTGTTGGTCTTTTCGAGTCAGTCCAGATGCCGTATACATCAAGTCCAGAGAATCTTTAGGATATGCCTAGAAGAAATCCGGGTATTTAGAGAGCGAAAAACACCATAGGATGATCAGAGGACTCCACGGGCAAGTTCTAGGACCTGAAGTCGTGGGTCTGTGAGAACTGATGGTCAAGTCCAGAAGGCATGCTATGAAAGCTTAAAGGAGTTTCAGAGCATGTCCGGAAGACTTTTCGATGTTTGGATGTTCTAGAGGGCATCCAGATTAAGTTCAGAGAAGATCATAATTTTCTCTACAACAAGCCTCAGACGTTATTTCGACCAGAAGAGCCCCATTTTTTTTTTAAATTTCAAGACGAATTTTAGAAAAAATGTGAGCCGGAGAAGGTCGAGTTTACCCGATTCCTTATTTGGCGAGGAACTGCTCAACACATCTAAAGATAATCCTCTTTTGGAGTCAACTCCAAAGAACTCCGACAGCAAGTTCAAAAGACATTTGAGGAAAGTGCAGGGGACCTTCAACGAAACCAAAGAACCCAGAGGGCAAGCCCATAATTTGTAACGGGAAAGTCCACAAGATTCAACGCTCAAATACAGGCAAAAGTCCAGTAAATTCTGAAGCTAAGTTTAAAAGGCTTTTAACCCATGTTCAGAGAGTTCAGGAAACGAATTCCTGGTTGACTACGCAGTTTCTGCTTCTTTTTGTTTTCGAAACCTCTCAAACATGTTCCAAAACTAACCGGACTCACGTCTAAATCCTTCTACCTTATACCCTGAAGCTAAGTCCTAACCGTCCACGACAAGCCCAGATGACTTCTAGTGATGACCCTTTGGAGGCAAGTCTACAGCACCTCTACGTTAAATCCAAATAACATCCAGGTTGAAAAAACACCTCCAGATTAAGTTAAGAGGCGTTTCTCTTCATGTTCAAAACAAATTCAAGGATAATCCACAATCCAAGTGAACAGTCAGAGGATATCTAAGTCCAAGGTTAATACAGAAGCCCCCTTGGGTATGTCAAGACGACTTCACGACCAAGCCTGGAGGATTTAAATCGTTTAAACACTTATTCAAAACCAAGTTCAGAGAGCTCAGGGAAGTAATTCCTGGTTGTCTACGATTCATTCAAACATGCCCTTAATCCTAAAAGGCTCACATCTGAAGTCTTGCGAACCTGTCTAAATCTCTCCAAATAGCAGTCCTATTTTTTCCTGAAGATCTCCTGAGCTTACTCTTCAGATGATTTTTTGTTTGAGATCAAAAGACATCCATAGCAAGACCAGAGGACTACTAGGTCGAATCTAGAGCGCTCCAAAAGAAGTTTAAGGAAACCCCACAGGTTATTCAGGACAAGCCCAAAAGACTATTAGCGTTAAACCAGAGAGAACTTCTTAAGCAAGTCCTGTTTGTGTTCAGACAATATCCAAGGAATATCTAGAAGATTTCCAGAGTAACACCAGAAGAGCTCATTTGAGACGTTTGAGAAAACTTCAGAAGTCTCTCAGCATTGAAGCGCATAGGCTTATGGACTTGTCATCCAGGTTATTTAGTTTTGTTGCAGGTCGTCAGGACTAAACTGTCCAAAATGACCTTCCAGAAAAGTCTGAAATAGGGTTCAGTAGATTTCAAGCTCCCAAAAATAAGTTAAAGGAAAAAAATCATGAATTTTTTGATGCAATAAGTATATTATAGGCAAAACAATTTTTTCCGGGATGTTCTAGGCCATCCAAACTATCGTCGAATTTAAATCCTTGACTATAAGACACAAGATGCATCTGATCATGGGGCAAACTTATGGTACATATCCAAACATGTTCATAAAGTGTAGACTTATCATTACCGATCCTTTTCCATTTATATCAGTCGTTCTAGTTTCTCCAAACCATCCTGGAGTTCAAATCAAATGATCTACTGAATCAACCACGACTGGGATATTGCTCTTAGCATTGAATCATATCCAAACAAACTCATGAAGATTATGCACAGCGATGACAATCCATTTCCCTGTATGTTAGATGTTCTAGGTCCTCCAAATTGTACTGGAGTTTGGGTCATTCGTAGCTATTAGTTTAATCACGACAGACAGAGTCAATGTCCCTAATATTGGACTTTGTCCAAGCAGATTTAGAGAGCCAATGCGCATAATTATCGATCAATTTTCTTTTATATCAGTTATTCTAGGGTCACAAAACCATCCTGGACTTCAAATCAAATAATCTACTGAATCAACCACGACTAGGATTTTGCTCTTAGCAACGATTCAAATCCAAACAGACTCATGAAAATCATGCACAGCGATGACAATCCATTTCCCTGTATGTTAGTTGTTCTAGGTCCTCCAAATTGAGCTGGAGTTTGGGTCATTCGTAGCTATTAGTTTAACCACGACAGAGTCAATGTCCCTAATATTGGACTTTGTCCAACCAGATTTAGAGAGCCAATGCGCATAATTATCGATCAATTTACTTTTATTTCAGTTATTCTAGGGTCACTAAATCATCCTGGAGTTCAGATCAAATGATCTACTGAATCAACCACGACTGGGATTTTGCTCTTAGCAACGATTCAAATCCAAACAGACTCATGAAAATCATGCACAGCGATGACAATCCATTTCCCTGTATGTTAGATGTTCTAGGTACTCCAAATTGTGCTGGAGTTTGGGTCATTCGTAGCTATTAGTTCAATCACGACTGATTCAATGTCCCTAATATTGGAATATGTCCAAGCAGATTTAATCTACCGCAATGAGTACCCATATGGAACTTACCTGTACTCTAGCCGGTCGACGCAGGTGCGTATCGTCGATGAAGATTCGCGGCGGCAGCCGATGGGTCGGCTCGTGGTCGAACTCGGAATCGGTGGAAATCTCCGTCGCCGAGTTGATCTCCTCCGAAGCCGATTCCGAATCGGATGCACCCTGAAACGAAAACGAGAAAATCGCCGCTTTAGACAGATCTCAATATTGACATTCTGAAAAGCGAACCCAGAAATTTACAATGATAGATAAAAACAACGCATCTTCGCTGGTAGAGCGGCAAAGGGAGGTTAGGATAGCGCAAAGAGCAATAGCAAACGGGCAGTTCAGTGGCACTACTTCCGGCACAAGGGGGGTTAGTGAGCAACAACGTCAACAACACATTAGATCAGCCTGTATGGAGGAACTGAAAGCGTCTCTTCGGGTACGATTTAATCGAAAGAAGATTCGATGTTTTTTTTTTGGGTGTCAGTATTTTGAATGATTTGTTTGTTTTAGAAGTAAGCAACTGTCATTGTTTGATAGGTACACAGGCGTCGTGCAGCAGTGTTTTCGATGTTTTATTTCGGGTTCTGAATGATTCGATGTTTTCGATGTTTTGTGGTTAATAACGAGAATTGTGGCCATTCAACCGCTGATCTCCGGGCGATCCTGTACGTGATCAGCGATTGATCATGTTTTATAGCAGCAAACACATTGATTATAATATAAAGATTCATCGCACAAATCAGTCAGAAGAGAACAAACAACGCCAAATGTCAAACAGATTTCACACCGAAACAACTGGATTACCTCTCTCTCTCTCTCGTTTTCTCTTTCTCTGTCTTTAGCGCTTGCTTTCGTCTATCAGTTTCCTTCATTTCAGCTTAAATCGTACCCAAAATCCGGGATAGTTTCTATTGTCTTTGGTGTAGGGGGAGGGTGGACTAGTAATTCGATGTATTTTCTATGTTTTGGCTATGAATGTTCGAGTTTTGACTTATGGCTTCCAAACGGGGCGAATTTTCTATGATGTGGGGGTAGGCATTTGCTAAGTGGGACTGTCTAGGAGATGGAACAGTTGTCTCGGCGATTGGAGGGGTCTCCTCGGGGGTCGCCACCTCTACGGTAGGATCTGCTGGTACCCGCAGAAGAAGAAGGAACGTCCTTACGGGTGTAGTGAGTCATTCGAGATGGTTGGGTAATGGCTTTGGTCGTGATGCGACTCATGGCTGCCGAACCGGATGAACCATAGGTGGATATTGGGTGATATGAGCTGCTTGTAATGGGTGCGCGATGAGCGGTAGATTTAGTCATAGGATAGGTATCACCATCGCTATCGTTTTCCAGCATTTCACGAATGTAGGGATTTGGGTCATTCCTGGTCACTTGCGAGCGAATGAACTTGTTCGCCTTCTCGTGAAGTCTTTGGCTGCGGTTCACAATGTTGCTACTGTCAGCTGTGGTCCGACGGGAATATCTAGTTTTCGGGACATCCCTAGCAGGCATATCGCTCGTTCTACTCGATGTATACGGCACGTGAGAGGAAGTCTTCGATTTGGGTAGAGTGTGCGACATTGGAAGATCGTCCAGATGCATCGTATCCGGATAGTACCGGCCACCGGTGCGGCTGATCGGAACGTCCACCTCGTAAGCGGAGGTTCGTTGCGGTCGACCGGAACTGCTCGTATTAATATCCGAGTCGTACATACGATGAGATCTGGCAACACTGATGGGTACGTCAACTTCATGGTGATGATGTCCACGTTGTGCTTTCGGGACATATTCATCCGGATCGTACCACTTCGGTAGGTCTGAATCGGGCGTTTCAAATGAATCCATCGCCCTACGGTTGATCCTCGGAACGTATTCCTCCGGATCGTAGTCTTTAGGAATAGCCGTCTTACCGGAAATCTTCCGACGTGGCTTACACTCCACCTTCAAGTCCTCCAGCCTTCGCTCTAGCGCTTTGATGTCCTCTTTCTTGTGTACCGTGGGCTCCTTATAGTACGGAACACCACGATCCAAGATGGCTTCCCACTTAGAAAAGTCTGTGCTACGAGGAATCGGAGACTCCCTATCAATATCAACCCGGATAGCTTCCGCATCCAGTTTGGACGCATCAGTAGACGATTTCCACTTTCTCATGTTCTCTCTCCTCCGGTTGTTCTCGCGCAAATTTGACAGGTCCTCATCCGACCCATCCATATGGAGATGTCGAAGTCGAGGATTCACCAGTTGCTTGCACGACGACGGTGGCTCAATATCGAAACCGAAGTCACGTAATTCTTCCAACGATTTCTTACTATGTCGTCTACCCGGTTTGGAATAGCCCGGCACGTCCAACCTATCGAACGACTTAGACCGACGCTTCAGCTGCTTGTGCTGATCTGGCAACACGTAGAATGTATCGACCACTTTATTGTTCTGCTTGACGAACACCTGTTCAACGACCAGATTGTCAATGCTGGAAGACTTCTTTGCGCGCCTCGGATCAATACAGATGGAGTTGTCGAACGGTTTACCGACCATCGGCGAAACACTTCGCTCCAGTTGCTTCGGTTTACGAAGTGGACGCTGTGGTTGCTGCGGACTTAGGTCAACCGGTTCTCTCGCTTTCTCCTCCAACATATGCTTGTAGGTGGTGAAGTCCGATTTCGGTTTCTTATCCATCGTTGGAGGCGGTTCGTAGAAAACGGGTCCAACCATGTCCGTTCCGACCAGGCCGGATGAAATGTCTCTCAGAATGCTGGCGTAGTCACCGCTCATTCCACTGGTGGATGGTTGCGGTTCAACGGGCTTATGGTCTTCCGTATGAAGAGTGTAGACTTGAATTTCCTGTGGGATGTGCGAGGTTATGTGCTTTAGTTTATCCGTGTGGCTTAAGATCTTCAAGACCGGTGGTTCCTCGATCGGCTTCTTGGTCATGTTGACGATGTCCGGAAGAGCGCTAAGCGAGGTGTTGATGAGCTCTGCATCATCCACCTTCGATAACAAATCCGTTTGTTCCGGGATGTCGGTAGTATCAGTCAATGTCGTCATCATTAGCTCCAACTTCGGATCAACTTTCTTGACGATGTCCTGCTTCGGTTCAGTCTGCAATTTTGAGGTAAGGAACTTTTCCGTCAATTCCTTCGTTGTCTGATTGAACTCTTTTTCAGTTAGCGAGCCAATGCTGTTCCTCGGGGTAGCCGGCTTTTCTACATTAGAGCTAATAACTGAAGGCACCTGAATACTCGGGCTTTTTCTTCGAGGTGCCGGTTGTGGTTTGGTTTCCGCTAGGGTAGCCAACTTAACAGGTTTTCGATCGGCTTCATCCTCAGACGAGAGCAAGTCGTCAAGGTTGATCACCTCAACCGTTTCAACGCTGTTCAGCAGATCTTCAAAGCTCAAAATCTCGTTTTTGTCTTTCGTTTCACGACTAAGAATGCTAAGCTGCTGGTCAATGTCTTCCGGAACCACCATTTTGAAGGATGCTCTGCGCTCCATGGGCTTCGGAGGCTCTACAACTGACAAAGCTTGTTGACTCTTCGTAGATAATCGTCTCTCGAGTGGTTTCGGCGCACTATCCACAGCAGTCGGAAGACTTGGCTTTTTAACGGGAGATCTTCGCTCCACTGGCACAGGCATTTTCTGTTCCTCACTCTCAGTGACCTTGGACTGAATCTTGAATGAAGTCTTCCTCTCTAATGATGGCTGAGCGGCGGGCTCCTTCGGCAAAGATGGCACTGGTTTCGGAGGAGAAGGTGCATTCTGTTTGACATACTTCTCCTTGATTTGAGTAGACCGATCCAAATTGATCTGCATCAAATCCTTGGAATCTTCAGACGGCTTAGGCTTCGCAGGGTTCGGCGATGGTTTTTTGATAGATCCCTCACGAATGACTTCCATTTTGCACTCCTCTCGTCGGAAGGGCGACAGAAGACTCTTCAGCGAAGAGCCTTCCGGTGCAGCAATGGTTTTGGCACGCTGAAGCTTGTTGAACATCTTCTGGAAGGAGGACTTTTTCCGTTCCGCCGGGACGGCCATTTCATCGGCCATATCGTCGAGGTTCGCTCCCGGCATCATTTCCATGGCCAGTTCGTTGATTTTGTCCCGCAGTACCGGAGTAGCTTCCTCGTCCGGTTTGTCCTCCGAGCGATGAGGATGCCGGGTAATCATGGTGCTGCGGAATTCGGAGAGCGTCCGAGGAACTTCCACTTCTCGGACCTGTACCAGTTGGATTTGGTTATCAACGGTGTTTTTGGGAGGTTCGTGTGAGATCACCTCCGCGGCACGGAAGATAGCCTCGTGCTTCTTGCGTAGTTCTTCGAAACAAATTTCATCGGATGACATTTTGCGTTCACGCTGGGGTAGGACTTCTGCCTTTGTCGCACTCGCAATGGGGGTTTGTACTTCCTGTTTTGGCGGTGTGGAAGGTTTAGTAACCTCGAACACTGCAGGTGCAGTGTCTGGGGCGGTGGAGTTCGCAGGAACAGCTTTAGGAGGAATCACTGGAGTAGGTTTAGCAATAATAGTCTTAGTATCTGCGGCAGCTGAGGGTTTGACTACTTCGACTTGAGGTGTACTTGTGAGTACAACTTTCCGAGACATCACTGGAGTAGACTTGGAAGCGCTAGTCTTGATCTGTAGACCAGCCAATTCTGCAGCGACCATTGGAGCCTTCGTTAAAGTACTTGAAGGTGCTACTTTTCTAGCCATCACCGGAGTAGACTTGGGAGTGCTAGACTTGATCTGCTGAATGCCCGCTTCTGCAGCCACTGGAGTCTTCGAAGGTTCAACTCTTACTTGAGCTGTGTTATCCGTTAAAGTATTGGAAATCACAGCTCTTCTAGCCACCACCGGAGTAGACTTGGGAATCTCCGGAGCAATCGAATTCGGAATCACAACCTTCGATTCTGTTCCAACTCCGACGGAAAGTTTGGAAGGTACTGTTTTGCGAGCCGTTACGGGAGTACTCTGCGGAGTTGAAGAGTTTATGGTCTGAGCTACAGTCGGAGTTTCCACCGTGGACTTTGTCGGCAGGACTTTTTGAACAATGGTAATGGATTTCGGGGTGGTGACATTCTGAGAGATCACCACCTTCGCCGGCGTTAGCTCGGTTGATTTTGTAGATTCAACGATCGTCTTTGCTGGAGAACGCGCTGTGGTAGTTTCCGTCTTCCGTACCGTGAGCGGCGAGCTTTGCGGAGCCTTCCTAGCCATTGCAGGTGTTGCCACCGGAGAAGTTGCTACCTTTCTCGACAAAACGGGAGTTGAAACGGGTATTCTCGATTCTTCAACCACAACCTTTTTGATCGCTTCCGTAGTTGCTGTGCCGTTCGAAAGTTGCTGATCGACGGTAGTTTTACGTTGCATTTTCGGTGTTTCCGGTTGTTTGGGTACGATCTTCTTCGCCACGGACGTTGGTGTTGGTGCGGGTGTGGCATCTAGCGGCAGTACCGGCGATACCACGGCCCTCTCCTGCTTCGGCTTCTTCGCCTTCTCGCTAGTAGCTTTTTCTTCTTGTTCGGTTCCATTCGGTTTTGACTCGGTCCGCGTCTGGGGGGCCTGAAAGGGCTGAATCTTTAGCGGTTCTGCCGGTTTACCGACCGGAATCGGTTCCGGTGCTTCGAGTAACTTCTCGAAAGCTTCCTCCACCTTACCTAGATCACCCGGATCGCTGGCTTTGCTGTTCAAACTGGTCATCGACGCTGAACGCGAATCGAGTTTTGACAGACTGGCGAGGTAGATTTCCTCCAGGGTTTCTTGCATTTTGACCGGGACGACGATTTTGAACGGCGGGCGCTTGATTGTCATCTTGGGGGCACTGGGAAGCTTTTCGGTGGTCGGCGGAGATTTTTTGGGAGGGGACTTCTTCTTGGTACGTTTGGGACTCTGACGCTTCTTAGGTAGGCCAAGGATCTCGTCAAAGTTGTCGAGTAGAGATTCGTCGCCTTCCTCTAGCAGGTCATCGAAAAGCTTTTCGTCCAAGTTGGGAGATTGTCTTTTCGGAGGGGTTTGGGACTTTTTTTGGACCTTGGGAGAAGGGATCTTACGGGTGGACTTTGGTGACCCGTCAATTTCTTTGAGCAGATCTTCGAACAGGTCATCTTCGGGAGTTGTGGGTTCGGGTTTGGTAGGGGATTGTTGTTTGCTAGTCACTTTCAGCAGGTCATCGAATAGTTTATCGTCCGAGTCGGGGGACTTTTTCGGAACGGGTTTTTTGGTCGGAGAGTTAGCCTTCTTCGTTGCAGGTTTGGGTGAAGGTGACTTTTGTTTGGCCACAGGTTGGAAGGCAAGTGCATTTTTAACTGGGGTAGATGGCGGCATGGCGGATTCGGTCTTGGATTTTTTGACAGCCTGGAAAGCTAGGATATTCTTTTTGGGTGGAAGAGGCACAACCGGAGGTTTTGGAGCTAATGCTGCTGGAGCGACTGGTTTGGGAGAAGTAACGATGAGAGCTGCCTTCCGTACGACTCCCGGAGATTCTACGCTGTTCTTTCGTGAAATAGCCGGTGAGACCATCGAGGACGAGGGGGTCGACGGAGAGGACTTTGCCGTACTGGGACCAAAGTATTTCATAAGTTCAACATCGTCCGGCTTCTTGCGGGGCATCATGGGGGAACCTTCTACGCTAGAGACCGAAGACGGAGATCCAATGCTAGCTTTTGCACTGGTAGGAGTCGAACTGCTGCTGGTGGGGAAGTACTTGGACAAATTGACACCTTGCAAAGCGGAGACGTCCTTGTTGGGCAGTTGCTTCGGTTTCTGGTCAAACTGATTCTTTTTGGCTGAGGTGAAGAACTTGGCGACGTCCTTCTCGCTTCGCACCCCAACGATTCGGGGACCCTCGACCGCGGACATGATTGACTGCATGTTGCTCTGGAACTTCTTAGCCTCAACCTTCTTCATGCGTTTATCCAGCGCAGCCTGGTCCTTCTTGATCTGTTCGAGAAAATCGTCAGCATCGTCCCGAACTTTGGCGGAGGACTTTGGTCGGCTTCGGCGCTTGGACAGCGGAGTGCTGCGACCACTGCTCAGATCATCTTTGAACATTTCGTCGAACGCAGCATCCTCACTCCCCGCAGACGGCGTTGGCGAGGGGCTCGGTTTCTTGTGTTTACGGTGCTTCTTCAAGGATGGCGTCGGAGATGGAGGAATTTCGGGGGTTTTCGGTTTCTTCAATGATGGCGATGGTGAGGGTGGAACCTCGGAACGTTTCTGCTTCTTCAGGGAAGGAGTGGGCGAAGGGGGTGGTTTCAGTGTGGAGGCGGAAGACTTGGCATGGCGCAATGACGGCGATGGCGACGCCGGAGGAGGTTCAATTTTGACCGGTGGTGTCTGATTGGTGATGGTAATTTGTGGCGAGTCGCTGAGGGTTTGCAGTGGTGGTGTTGACGAAGGAGGAGGCGTTTGTGTTTTGGGCGCTTTGATTAGCGTGCTAATGCTGTTCATAAGACCACCGAAGAAGGATGTTTTCGCCTTGGAAGCTTCGGCGGCGCCGACCGCGGTAGGTGCCGCAGCCAACGACGAGGATGGCGACGACGGTGGTGGGCTAGGCGAGGAGTGAAGCCATTGTTCGCGCAGGCTAAGCTTTTGAAGCATCTTCTCCCTCAGAGCCCTATCTTCGGCGGATTCTACTGGTGCAAACTGCGCCGGTGGCTGTGGTAGGTTATTGACAGTAAGGACGCTAGGATTACTGAACTGATTAGGAGCTATAGAAGGATCTATTGGTGGCTGTTGCTTGGAGGCAACCTGTAAATTATTTGCAATTTCGATCGATTTCACAAGTCAATGTTTATAATGGGGTAAAAGAAAGAAAAAGAAGATACGAATTAAAGAATCACCATCACCGTGGGGATTTTGTGAAGGGGGTGGGGATGAGAGCTGGTGATGGTAGGAGATGGGTACTAACCTCGGTTTCCGTGTCGGTAGGCATCGTAGGCGGTGGCATCAGTTTGACTTCCTGCATTCGCATCTCACGAGCACGAGCCAGTTCTTCGCCTTCAGTCTGCGAATCCGCTTCGTCATCTGAGGGAACAAAAGACAGTGAAACTCATCCCGTATTGTAGCCGTCAAGAAACATTCATACCTTCACTGGAGTACCCGTAGAAGTCATCATCGCTATCGACCATACTGGTGAACCGCTTATCGCTGATCCACTCCGAAGCCAGCTGAAGCGTCTGCGCACCCAGTGGAGATCCGGCCGCTTCTTCGTAGTCCGAATCGCTTTCGCTATCCGACTCATCCGAACTGGAGGTGTCCACCTCCGATTCGTCCGATTCGGTACCGAAGTTTCGGTCGGTCCACTCGTTCTCGTCGATGACCTCCATCGCTGCCTCGCCGTCCGAAATGGACTCGTCGGCGTTTTCGAACTCGATACGCTCCGGTGTTTCTCCGCGATCGAGCAGATCGAAGTTTGTGAATCCGGACGATTTCGAATCCGGCGTCGAAGGCTGTGTGGCGGCAGCTGCAGCTTCGGCCGAGATCGCCAATGGTTGTTTGCTGCCGTCCGCTTGGGGTGCCCGAGCCAGCGACTTCTTCGGCACCGGTTTGTATGTTTTCGAAGGCAGTTTGAAGTGCTGCGTGCAGTAGAACTTGCCCTCGGGATCGTCCCGATCGAAGGCGTATCCTCCTGTTGAGTTACATAATGATAAGCTAGGGACACGAAACGGCGAAAGCGGTGATGGATTACTTACCGAGCCGAAGATTGGTATGGCAGTGGTGGCACTTGAGACAGGATCTGTGCAGGATCAGGTTTTCGGCGGAAATCTTTTCCATCAAATAGACGCGCTGCTTGCAGAAGTGGCACTTCTCGGCTACGCCGGACGAAGTGAGAACCAGCGCGGCCTTGGAGGTCTAAAATAGAAATTCGATCAGTTGGGCTACATTTAGAGCTATTGAAAACGAGAAGGTCTTACCGATTTCGGATTCGATTGGTGCTGCTGTTGATGATGATGATGTTGTTCTGGTTGCTGCTGCTGTTGTTGCTGTTGCTGTTGTTGCTTCGTGCTGAGTAGCTGTCCAGCAATGGAAGCTACCTTATTCTTACCGCGCTCGCCTAGATCGAGATTGTGGCCCTCCTTCAGCTGTCGATCGATCGCTTTCAGTGAACTGTCAATGTCCCTGTACTTTTCGTCGTCCGGCTGCTGAGTGAGCTTATTCTGGCGAGCTAAAAATTGCTCGCGGTTCCACTTCGGAACGCGTTCACGGCTCTTGCCAATGTCGGTCGCTTTCTTCGATAGTTCGATTTTCTTCTCGATCTCCTTCACATTCCAATCGCTGCTGTCGATCTTGCCGATCGCCCGCAGCAGATCCTTCGGCTTCTTCTCGGCGATCGGAACATGCTTGCCGCCGATCCGTTGCTCCATCGATTTGATCCGATCGCTAAACTGTTCGCCATCGGCACCGGCCAGCCCTTTCGGATATGCCGCTGCTAGGCCGCGATCGCGATCCTGATTGACCGGGGATAGAAAGAGAGAATTCGTATTGCCATGGTTGCTCTCTCGGGTTTGCTCGATTAGACACACGGCAACGCGCATCGGATTGCGTGCGGTTAGGAAGGACCAGAAGGTTTGAGGAGGTAGTTAGGGCAGGGATGATCAGTGAAGCAGGTTTCTACCGGTGAGTTAAAGGCTTCTATCTACAAAGTTTTACACTCTACAGGAAGTAAATGTTACACAGAGTGGCATGCAGTGGTTCTTTCGTTCCTACTTCCTAGGAAGGTTACTAATTAATCATGCAAACTAACAACCAATTTTCAACGGGCGCCGAAGAAGAAGAAAACCAAACAGAAAACAACGAACGCAGCACCGAAAAGTCAAACAACGAAGTTGATCGTTTTTAAATTTAAAACACATGTTCTCGGTAAGCCACGACTGTTAAGGGGCAGAGCACTCGAAAATCGTAAAATCCGCCCGAGCAAACGGTAAGTGTAAGTGATCAAGTGGGTAACATAAATTCCACTTGCGATTTTTTTTTTGTTTTTCTTTGCAGTTACAGAAGAACGAGCTGTTAATGAGGCGTACACAGCTGCGGGGGTTTCAAGAAGAATCGAAAACGACTCTCAAGAAGCGGACGATTAGACGGGGCAAATTGATTGACACAAACACAAACAGCATTGTGGTCTTCGGTTGGAGATGGCTTGTTCTGGGAAGTCACATCCCATACCGAGAAGAGTTTAGGATGTGTTATCAAAATGAACCACTCTTCATGGTTTACGAATGGGAAAGGGCATTTAGGTTAAAGGTGTCATATTTGGCAAATACAACAGGAATTATGCCACACATCTAGGTATTAGATCATCGAAAATCACACAGCGTCATGCAACCCCTCAAAACAGGCGTGAGGAAGCGCCTGGGGGGGGCGAGGGATTGTCCCCTTCCTTACGGGATAGAGCAGCTTCCGTTCCAGCTCTTTGACGCGATCGCCAAACTCCGGCGCCTCCTGTCGGTAGAGGAAGAGCGAGTAGTCCTCGAATGCGCTGGAACTGTCACCACTTTCCCGCAGTAAAGTGTTAGCCTGCAGCATGTGGAGGCTGGTGAAGAAGTTTTGCGTTTGCTGGGCCCGCGCCAGGCGTCGCTTCGTCTGCCGATCGAACCGGTTCGCTTCGATCTCCTGCAGGCGGCGGGTGCGTTCCTCCTACATTCGTTGGTTTTTTGTAGTTGTTGTATATGTTTGCACACATTTTAAAGAGGAGGGGAAATTGGACACAATTGGACGTTACACAACCGTTACCATTTTATGCTATTCTATTTGCTTGATTTTAATTATGGGGAAGAAACGATGGTTTTCAGCTTGGATTTTTTTTTAATGACCGAATTGTGTGAAATATGAGCTGATTCCCTGATGGTTCTTCGTTTGGTGGTGGTTGTTGGTGGGCGAACGAACGATGATGGGCGAAAAGAAAACGCAAACTAAGATTTGCAATTTTAATCAAGTACCAATTTATTCAGCATGCAAAAAATGAATATAGAGAATGAAACAAAACAAAAAACTAAACTGTAGGCGGTATATTGTTAGTTGATAGGGTAAATGGGAAAGGCAGTTGTATGGGGTAACACAAATAACGGGAATCGAGAATCTAGCTCTACACGGCATCGAATCTATTCTACAGGTTTAATCCTAAGGAACTGGGTTAATATGAGTAAATCTAGGAAGCGTGAGTGCACAATGTCCAGAATGTTTCGCGTTATTGGGGAGAAGCGTTACACTTAATCCTACAGCGCACATGAGCAGTATGAGGTAGTCTACAGCAAGCTATTTATCGTATAACTAGGTACATTCTTTGTGTGGTTTGTTTGTTTGTTTGATTATTCCTACTATCTTACGTGTTTGTAAATATATTAATGTGTCAATATGAGTAACGGATTGAGAGAGTCGGGGTGAGCAAGAGCAATCGAACCTGAGACAGCGCGGAAGCGCGAGCCGTTTCTGATTTGAGGGGGTGTGAAAGAGCGGCAGTATCAACACAACCAACAAAGGCGCAACTATCAACGTGAGGCCTACGTTAGCTGTAGAGGAGGGTCGAAAGGTATGCCGGAACACTCTGAGTATGAGTAGTATCGGTTCGGACTAAGATTGCGATTCGCTGCTGTTTCAAGCGATCAAGTGGGTTTCGAGGGGCAAGGCGATTTAATCGATCATTGTTATTGTTATGCCTACGGAATTCATTTTACTGTCAATTTTAATCACAGACACTGACGGCACGAGTCGTTGACTGATACAACTACGAATGAGGCGAAAGTTGGAATGTAACTTTCTTTAAGCATGAAACATAAGTAGAACACGACATGAATGAGCAGACACAACATGATAAATCACTACACAGTTGATAGAGCCATTTGGTGATTTTTAGATTTAACTTAGTTCATCATTTAGTACTCGAGCTTAATTTTTTATTAAATTTTTTTTAACTGTTTTTTTTTTATAATGATATACAAATCATTGAATACACTTATTTCCAGATCATTTATCAGGATGGCCAATGAATTATCATTTTAAAATTCCCGGTTAATTCCCGGCTTTCCCGGATCAAATTAAAAAAAATCTTGATTTTTAATATTTAGCGATATATTTAATGATTCAACTTTTTTTTATTGAAACATGACCAAGGGCAAACCTTTGAAGTTCAGGGTGTCGACTCGACGAAGAAAATAAAATTCCCTGATTTTCCAGTAATTTTCAAAAAATTCCAGATACAGTGCCTACCCGGTTTTGGCAACACAACCCCATCAACTATAACTCGTGTGAGGTGACTCTTCATTTGATTGCACGGAGAGTCACCCCACTAGTGCGTGACTTTTGTTGACTCATTGGTGGTGGAGATTCGCACGACTCGCGAAATAGGTCAGATGATAAGATTTGTATTTATTAAATATTTTGAAAAGCTAAGAAGTCAAAATTGTGTAGACAAAATCTAACGGGTAATGCCGATATAAATATATATATATATATATATACACACATTAAATGCAAAGGGGAGGGATGGGACCATTAGGGCACCGGATTGAAGCGATTTGGATGGGGAGAATGGAATTGCCAACTCCCTGTCATTAACATTTCGTGAATTGACGGCGGGCTCTTCTCCCCACTCATTGGGACGTTCCCTCGTATGATGGCTTGTTCTACATCGGGTTGTAGGATTTTATCATTGGAAGGCGATTCTCCTGATCCCGCGGATTGCGCGTAAGTGCATCTGCTTACGGGTCCGCCCCTCCGTTTTTGGCCCTTCTTACAATGGTAAATTGAATACAACCAGGTATCGTACTTGATCAAGTCATACTTGGAGGATGATCCACTGTCTAATGGCTGGGCCTTGCAACAATGAGTGGTATCCTTTACATCACATCACATCACAACCCCATCAACTATAACTTTCCTCAGAATATATTACAGGGTTGCCAGTGAATTTTCATTTTAAAATTCCCGGTTTTTCCCCGCTTTTTCCGATTCAAATCTCAAAACATTCCCGGTTTTTAATATTTAGTAAAAATAATGAATTTACTATCACGTTATTTTCGTGGTACTTAGAATCAATTTGAAAACTTTTTTTTTAAAACTCGAGTTCTCTTATGATTGTAAAGCGTCAGAATATACAAAGTAGCCAGTGTTTTTTTTTAAAGGTCGCATAGCCGAACGCTATCGGGCTGAATCGGTCATTATACCGAATTTTAGAGGGATAGATTATATTAAGAAACTGTTTTAAAAATCTTGAACTTGATATGGAGCAAGATTTATTTTAAAGTATCGTAATCTGTACTAATATAAATCTTAGAAACAAACTAAATCTTAAAAGCAACTTTAATTTTATGATTCTGAGACTTTGACATGTGTTCACAGTCTTAAAATTTGTCATTTTTTTAGAGATTTGTGACTTCTGAAAATTTATCCTAGATTTAGAAGAAAAAAACAGGATTGGATTTTCTTCTAACCATATGAAACTGAAAAAAAAATAGTCAAAATATGGAATTTTGAAAAAATTTCTCCATCCCTGATTAAGAAAATTTTTCAATTTTCCAGATTTGGAAAAATACCGTCGCTGGAAAATTGTGTGGTGTTGGAAAAATGTTCAGGGTTCTTATAAGAAGATTTTTTAATAGAATTTTGATAACTCAAAACACTGAGAAGAACTCGAAGAAAAATTCAGCGGAGCTCGGACAAGAATCTTAAATTAATCCTAGAATTAAGTTCTGACGAGAATTACAACGTCGTTGTGGGGAGAATTTCAAGGAGAATTCCTAGGTGATTCTGAAGAGAATCGTATGCGCATTATGAGGAGAATAGCAGGTGAATTTAAATGAGAACTTACAGAGAAATATAAACAGAGTTTAAAGGGGTTTCTGATAATAATTTTAAAAGAATACTGTTGAAGATTCACAAGTCAACTTTAGGAAAGATTCGACAAAATGCCGAAGGAATCGAGTTCCGAGGTAAATAAAGAAAAATGCTGAAAATTTTAAATTAAATTCTTTCACGAAAATTCAGCACAGAATTCCAAGGTATTCTGAGGAGAATTCCAAAGGATTTCTGAGGAGAGTTTTGCGAAAGGTCAAATAACTTCAAAAGTTTAAGATAATTAAGAACTGAACAAACCATTTTTGAGCTGAAGAAACATATGTTTGATTGATTAAGCTCATCTTTCTTTGGAGTTCACGGGATTTTCATGAAATTTTCAAAGCAAAATAAGCAAACTAGCAGAATTAATTTCGAATTCTTATTAGAATTTGACCTAGAATCCTCATCCAATCATCATAGAATTCTGCTCAGAACTCTCGTTAAAATGAACTCTCAATTATATTGGAATTATTTCCAAAATAGTTTCTGGGCTGAATTTTGCGTCTCTAATAATTTAAACAATAATCAAAAGCGACGCCCGTATGTGTTAAGTCAAGTTTAACTATATAGGTAAACCTGGCTTAAGATTTAAGCGGAGATGAAGAAATCGGTGCTCAGAGCACTTAATTTTACATAAGACTTTCGTAGTCTGTATTCTTCTCTGATATATCTTGGTGTCATCCCTAGAATCCTTTAAAATTCTCGAAAAAATTCTCTTAAAATTTCATTTAGATTTTTTAAAGTTCTTAATCATCATTGAAAGACTTTTAAAAATCCATCACAGATAAATACCTTTGGAAAGTTTCCATGAGGTATATTTTCTCCGATTTTTAATCGAAATTGTAGGCATTCCCCAATAGCTTTTCTGGTGTTCTAAGGTTTTGCGGTTCACTGGTCGCCCTGGTTAAAATTTTCAATTTTTTAACAGATAGGGGAATTTACGTATTCTCGGCAACCTAAGCAGCGACGTTCTTTCTATAGCCTTTTTCTCTAAGGAACGCACACATATGCAGTATTGGTTTGTCTACAATCTTTTGCTGCCAGCTGCTCTAACAATTTCTGTCGAAAGAATTGTCAAAAACTGTTTTGAAACGCTTTTACAAAGCTCCAATCTTCTCTAGTGAGAGCGAGTATTGTCGGCAACCAGTTTTTCTTCGGCAACCGTTCCATTTGAACTGCATGTAAATCTGCTGTTCTATTATCGGCAACTCGAAATCAGCTACAATTTGTAGTGCGTGTGTTGCTTTTCAAGAAAACCTTGCTAGATTGCTTTTTCTCAGTGGTAAAAATATAGTCAAATTAAAGCTGAAAGCATAAAGAATTGTTTGTATGTATTCAGCGAAGTGTTTTCGTAAGAAAATCCAGTGAAAATAGTGTTTAGATTTGGGTTACCGAAAATAGTCTGTCATGCCGAAGCCGTCATTTCCCCTATGTATATTTTGCTAAAACTACTGTAGACTTTCTTAGGGCCAAATACTCAATTTAAACATTTAGTTGATATCTTTAGATTTCACTCTATTTTAGTAGTAGAAAAGTGACTTTAGTGACTATTTTCAGGGAAATAGTGACTTTTTGGTGTAAAAAGTGACTTTTTAATTGACTAAAAAGTGACCTGCTACCAGCCCTGTACCCATGAAGAGTGGTCCAGTACAATTTCAAATTAAATAAAGCGTTCCATACATTTTATAGCATGCAAAAAAGACATAAATCTCGTGTTGCCAAAAAAGGAGAGGATCCGCATTCATCCAAATCTCCTTCATCTTCATGGTGACCAGCAAATTTCGATTAGCAATCGTCCCGTTTAT